CATCTTAATCACATACTTTATCATCTCACATCTCATTTGGAAAAAAATCTTACTTTGACTATTTATTATCCCTGTAATATGTTTCACTTGGATCAATTTGTTTTTTATCAAACTTTAATTTCTTAACTGAAATTGATAAATTTCTTGTTTTGCTTCCCCTCTTATATTTGATTGATATTTATTAGAACATCGTCCTAATAAATATCTTACGTGTACTTTAAAACATTGTCCTAAAAAATATTTTACGTGTCCTTTAGGTCATGTATTAACACGTGTTCTAAAGGACATTTAGGCTCATACAAAGATGGACATTGACAGCGTGCTCATGAAAAAAAATGCATTACCTCAAAAAAAAAAACAATTACAAAATTATAAAGAAACAAATAGTTGTTTCTTTTAGAATAAATATTTGTTGAAGTCAAAAAGGTTGATTTTATTTTTAAACGTCAAAATACTTTTTAACTTTTAAGGTCATATTAGAATGCTATCAATTCAGAAAAACTTTGTCGTCAGAAAAATTTATGGAGGAAAAAGGAAGTTAAAAAGCATGTTGCTGAAGTCCAAGAAGTACTTTCCATGAATTTGATGGGAAGCAGGTTATCACTTCGGATAAAACAAGTGGCTTCCAACAAAATTTCAAAGAAAAACATGATGTTGTAGTTTTATTTAATCTATTTCATATATCAGAAAATCGGTAAGAAAAACTATATTTTTTTGAGTCTAAGAGACAAAATTGTTTGCGTATTTTATAAATATGACTCCGGGTGTAGCAATTTTTGTCAATTACATAGAACATAGATTTTTCTGTACAAATTAGTTTGTGAAAAATTTTAAAACATGTTACTAAGTCACATTTTAAGGCGGCAAATCTTAAGTGATTCCAAACCAAACAACTGTAGTTGATTATGACAAGACAAATTTTTAAGGCTCTTAATTGGTGCGGTAACCAAACTGGAGAGCATTTTTATAACATCGATTTTATATAGTTAGTGAAACCTCTAATTAGGATACAAAGGTTGCGAGTTTTATATCAATTTAATGCTAAGTATGCTCTATAGTTAGCTTGATGGATGACGTTAGAAATATGTTTTTTATAGATAAGATTACAATCTATTGTTACTCCCTGATCTTTTGGGTTGGAAGACCTAGCTAAATTGCACTCTCCTAATTTATAGTTGCGCTATTCTAAGTGCAAATACTAGCAATTGATAGTTGCGATGTTTCTACCCAGAGTATAAGCCTGTTTAGAGCAACTTCTAAATCTTGGCTCAGATCCATGTCACGTTACAAACTATATAACTTTAAATCATCCTTATAAAGTTTTAAAGATTATTAGTTATGGTAATTAAATCATTAACATATAATAGAAACAATGTGTGACCTAACACACTACCCTGTGGAACTGCACTAACAATGCGTATTGCATTTGATAGAGAACTACCAACCTTAACTTGTTGATATCTATCGGTGAGGAATGAAAAAATCCTTATATTTTATACAATGCAAGTTTAACTAATAATTTGGGATTAGAGAAGAGTCAAACTCTTACTGAAAATCACTTTATAAAACATATGTTTCGTGCAGTGTTCCAATCATTAGAAGTTTCTAAGAGATTTATACAGGTAGAGCATTTATTGAGAAGACCGCGTTGATTGTGAGTTATTAAGCAATGATCAGTTAGATACTCTATAACATACACATTAATTATTCAGCTTTTACTCAGCTTGTTCAGTGGGCATGAACAAGCTGAGTAAAAATGGTGGCGGCGCCCCTTTGTGTGTGTATATATATATATATATATATATACAGTACTGTGAATATGTTTTAGACCACTTATATAATTAGTTGTATTTTCAATTTTCCTGTGTATTTTTTTTTTTTTTAAGCTTACTTAAGTTGAGTAATATTTGAGAAAGGTTGAAAGAACATATTATCTTGAATAAATAAACAAAAATTTATGAGGAACATGAGGGATATGTTTGTTTTTTTATTAAAACGATAATTGTCATTATAACTGCAGACCAAGCGTTCATCTAAATAGTACATAAAAATAATATTTTCGATTTTTTTCTTACTGGTTCAGGTTCATATTCGTTCATTTAAGTTTTTAACAGTATAAAATGTAGTCATAGAGTGAATTTAATACAATAATGATCGGTTTTGGTACATTTTTTAAAAAGTTGTTATTTTTTATGAATACAGTTAAACAAATAGTTAAAAATAATTAAATAAAGTTATTGGTTTACATTTTTAGATTAATTAAGTGTTGCTATGGGTAAAATATCTTTAATAGAGAGACAGAAAGTTATTGTGCTTCACGAAGAAGGTTATTCGCAGCGCCAAATTTCTTCCAAAACAGGATATTCGAAGACTGCTATTAGAGAAATCATTAAAAAGTTTAGAAAAAACTGGCTCCCTTGGAAATAGAAAGAAAAGTGGCAGACCTCCTAAGCTAACAAAAGATGACGATAAATATTTAAAAACCCTTTCTTTAAGAAATAAGAAAAAAACATCCACCGAATTGGCAAAGGACATTAACACAGCAACTGGGAAAAATGTTAGCTCTTCTTGTATTCGACGACACCTACTCAAATCAGGATTACGAGGCTGCGTTGCTATTCGAAAACCTTTATTACGGCGTGGCAATAGAGAAAAACGACTTAAATACGCAAAACAACACAAAGATTGGACCCAGGAAATGTTAAATCGGGTTCTGTACACTGATGAGTCCAAATTTGAAATTTTTGGAACGAAAAGACGTCAATATGTTCGAAGAAGAATAGGAGAAGCCTATCAGCCCGAGTGTTTAAACCCTACTATTAAACACGAAGGAGGCTCTTTACAAGTTTGGGGCTGTTTTATCTTCATCTGGGGTAGGTGATCTGATCAAAATAGAGGGACGACTCACCGAGGAACGTTATGTGGATATTCTAAGACAGCATGCTATACCATCCGGAATGAGACTAATGGGCCATAATTTTATTCTGCAGCAGGACAAAGACCCAAAACATTGTTCCCGAATGGCAAAAAACTATTTAAATGAAATGGCAGAAGAAGGAATACTGGAAATGATGACCTGGCCTCCCCAGAGTCCAGATTTGAATATAATCGAGCATATTTGGGATTACTTGGACAGGAAAAAGGTTGAACATGCTCCCCGAAAGGCTGAAAAATGTTTTCAAGTACTTCAAAGAGAATGGCACAACATACCGCAGGATTTTATAACAAATTTGTATGAATATATTTCCCGGCAAATATTGGCTTTGATTAAGGCAAAAGGAGGACATAGTAAATATTAAGGGTTTTTTTATGAAGTGTGACATTAAAAAGTTTTTTATTGTTCCATATTTTGTGTGAAATATATGTGTTTTAATAATTTTATAATATAGAATTCGAAACTTAAATATTAAGGAAGAATTCTCTTGGATTTTTTGAGAAAATGTAAGTGGTCTAAAACATATTCACAGTACTGTATATATATATATATATATATATATATATATATATATATATATATATATATATATATATATATATATATATATATATATATATATATATATATATATATATATATATATATATATATATATATATATATATATATATATATATATATATATATATAACTCATGTCTTATGTATATGTATATATATAACTCATGTCTTATGAGGCGACTGCTTTACCACAACACAACTACCGCTATTAAAGTAAATTTATCGCTTTTGAACTTAGATTAAGCCTCTGCAATCTCTAGCACTTGCTGAGTAAACTTCCTCGGTACTCGCTACTTTCTATAATTTACAACCGGATCTAACGTAATCCTTCTCGACAAGTTTAGTTTTATCCGAGATAACTCATTTTTTGAGATTTTTTTTTTCCTGTGTAATTTAAACAATATTTATTTCCATTTTTTATTATTTTTTTATTATTGCGTTTATATAATTAAAATAAAAAAGATTAGTGCAATCGGTTTATTTTAATAAAGAAGATTATATGATAAAAATTTATAATGATTGATTTATTTATTATATAAAAGTTCAATTAGAAGCCTAATGTATAATGCCATGAAGTTTTAATTTTTTTTTTCGCATTAAAATTTTTTTTTTGTTTCTTACTTATTTTTTATAAGCTTAGATTGTTAAACTTTCAATTTAAACAAACGCTTTGTTATATATTTCTCTTCATAAATATTCATAACATATTTGGAGTTTATTTATATCTTTTAAAATGAGTTTGATTTTATAACAGATATTATCTGTTATCAATTTGATTTTATAAAAGATTTTATTAAAATTGATTTTATGAAAACTATTTTCGTTGATTTGTAATAATAAATGAATGATTAACTAACTTTATTTCCATTAAAATGTTTTGTAAAAAAAATTTTATGAATGATTAAATCAAAACTTTTAGATTAATCATTCACAAAAGTCTTTTGTATAGTAAAATTTTCAAGTCAAAAGTACTTGTTTAAAAAACGTACCATTTAGTTTAAAAACAATTAGTTAATTTTTTTTTTATTAAAATACATTTTTAGTTTTTAGAAAAAAATTTTAGTTTATAATTGTGTGTGTTTATTTTGCAAATTCTAAAACTAACAAAAATTCATATTGCAGCAAAATTAAAAATTGAAATTTACTGTATTAGCAAGCTGGAGAATCAAAAATTGGAGTTGACTTACCGACCAAAGTAAACTTTTTGTATCTTTGGCTTGCTAACACTGTTAATTTAACTTTTTAGTTATGTTGCAGAATGAATTTCTGAGGTTTAACATTTTTTAAAACTTAATCTTTTATAATTTTATATTGCTCACTAGTTTGCTGAAAAAAATGTTTTGGTATTTGTTTTATAATATTAGTGGTAAACATTGTTCTTTTTTTTAATGGTGCAAACCTGCAGTTTTGGAATTAGCAACTTTTTTGATCATTTCATTTTCTTATTTATAAAAAAGTTTTCAAAAGATTATATATTTTATTATTTTTTTAACCTAATTTGTTTTTTTATAATTCATCAAAGATTTTGAATATATGTAAAATGGAGGTAAAAAGAGATCGTTTATCAACTGAAATAAATCAAAAGCTGAAAGAAGCTTTATCTGGTAAGCATATTTTTAGTCTTGGATCTGTTAATATTTTTTTAATTAAGTTTAGCTGTAGTTACATCAATCATTTAAAAAACAGATATTTGATTTTTTATTCATTTATATGGTATACAAAGTTCTTGAATTAAACAACTGTGGCCATAGTTTAAGACACTGAGCAAAATGAGATGCATAAATTTTTTTAGCTCATTTTGTTTTTTATAATCTTGTATCAATATTTTATAAATTTGTTTTATGATATTTCTTTTATCATCAAAAATAATGATTTCTAAAATTTTTTTTTATCACTATAACTGAAATGAGATCAATAAAAGATTAACCAAAAATTAACACATTTTTAAAAGTTTAATATATATATTTAAAAAAAAGTTCTTTTCAAATAAGACTGCATGAAACTATTTACATAATTTTTGAGTTTATAGAAAATAAAAAATTAGTGTTAACAAAATTTAAAGAGATAAACAATGTTAAGAGCAGGAAAATAAAAGACTTATAATTGTGTTAATTATATAAATCAGGAAAACATAAATATGGGAGAAAATTTTAAAACACTGATGTTTGCAGAAAAAAGCTATTTGTAAAAAAAAAATGTTTTAAGCATAAAGAAACAATTCCAGTAAAGTGTTTGTCTGTTATCTCAAATTCACAACCAAATCTTCATTTTTTTTTTCAGTTTATGTCAGGAAGTTTTTAACAGAACCTTTTACTGCCAAGCAGCTACTTTTTTATGAAAGTTTAAATTCATTTTAAAAAAATAAATGAGGAAATGTTGCATGTTTATATATTAGTTATTTAAGTCTTTTTTTTTTAAACATTTAATTCAGTTTAATAATTAATTTAAAATTAGTTTTTTAAAATTTTATTTCATAGTTATAGTTCTTATCATATTGCAAAATGTTATTTTTATATTAAATGTTACAAAACATGACGAAATCAAGAAAATTCTTTTAACATTGTTTTGAAACTTTTTGTTTTGAAACTTGATTTAAAAATTTACTTATAAAATGTTGTCTTTAGTTTTGAAATAATTTTGTACTAGTAGGACTATTTCCTTTTCTCAACACTTGGAAAATAATATTTTTTTAGTATGTAGTAGTTTTATTTATTAAAATCGTGTTCTCTATGATGATTTTAGTTTTCAAAAGTTTTATCAAAAATTATAACAATGAAAAGTGAAAAAGTTTTACAAAACTGGTTTTTACAAAAAATTTCTCATGGTTTTACTTTTAAGTTATCTATTCTTAAATTAAATGAATAAATATCTAATTTCACATTAATAGAATAAAACAAAAAAATTATAATTAAGTTGACGAAGCCCTTTTTTTTTTTTCCCCCTGCCAATATTGTTGTTATTGATGACTTAAATGCTTATCACACTGAATAGTTTTGCTCGAACGCCACTGACCCTGCTGGCACTAAAGCTCATAACTTCTGTATTCTCAATCTCTTACTCAGACGATCCTATTCACTTATATTTACTCCTTGATATGTGTCATGTCTCTGACCCTAGTTAGTTCTGGATATGCAATTATCTCATTAAATCTTTTATCTCTTTTTTAGACTCATTGCACTACCTGCTTAGAAGTCAGATTCCATAGACTTTTGATAATTTCTTCAACAATGATATTATTAAAAGTTGAAATATTTCATTTAATTCATGGATCTGGTTTTATTACCTCTCTAAAAAACAAGGAAGAACTATTTGAAAATAACTTTTCCTATAATTCAACTCTTGAATCTAATACTTATCCTGCCATTCCAGTTAAACAGGTTAATTGATTGTTAAACATCACTCTGGCCTTTATTGCTAAAGTTATTTCTTAATTAAACTCTTCTAGAGCTTGTGGTTCAGATTTTTGTCTCCATTTGACAACATTTTTGTCTCCATTTGACAACATTTTTGTCATAGTCTTACAAAGTATTCTCCAGAATTCTTAATTCTCTCTAAACAAAATATAATAGGTGCTTGACTGAATCTTGTCTTCTTGTTTGCTGGAAAATGGCATCTGTGGCTTCAATTTTTAAAATGGATTAGAGTGTTCTGGAACACTCTAATCCCTCTAACTATTGTCAATCAATCTTCTCTCTTTTATTAGCAAAATCTTTGAGTCATTAATCAACAAATTTCTAACATCCAAGTCTTTTTTTTTTAAAGTTTTATTATACCTAACATTAAAATAAAGAGAAAACCCAAACATTAAAATAAAATTTAATTTAAACATAACTTAACAACAATAGTTTTATTTGCATCAAAGATAATCACTTTAATCAGACCAGATTTCTTTTTTTTAAAAAAATCAACATGTGGGAACTTTCCTATGCAAAAACAATGTGGCATTAAAAATGAAAATGTTTTTTGTTAATATCTTGATAAATAATTAGTTTTGGTAAATTTAATTAACATCGAACTTAATTTCAACATGTTCTTTCTCGCAGTGACCTTGTTTGTCAAGGTTTGTGTTTCTGAGTTGAATAGTTGAGAGAGTATTGTAAAGTAGTCTCCTCAACTGTAATGCCTTGGGACTTCATAGCCTTGAGAAGGTAAATTTGAAAAAAAAAAAAGTTCAATCAACTTTAAACTTAATATCTAAGATTTATTTAAAATGTAAACACCACATGTCTCAGCACTTTGAGATCCATTTTAAGAAAATGCTCGTTTTGTAATTTTTAATTTAATTGAATTAGCAAATAAAATTAAGTATTAAAATTGTGCATAGAATTGAAGTTGTGCTTAGTAAATTACTAGTTGTGAAGACTGTAGATGATCAGCAATAAATATCGAAATGTTTATCAAAAAGAGAAAAAAGTTTGTCGAAACTTAAATTCAAAAGAAAATAATTAAAAAAATTTATACATGTTTATATATAAATATATCATGAAAACATCTTCATATAGATTTATTATATACATAAATGAGGTCTGCAATAAATTGCAAACCTGAAACTGTAAGAGGTTGGCTAAAAAATTTTGACATTAAGGAATTACCATAAAACATAGAAACAAAGTAGGTAATTTTTTACCGACCTCAAACACTTCCTCTCACTCTCACATGTGTATATATATATATATATATATATATATATATATATATATATATATATATATATATATATATATATACATATATATATATATATATATATATATATATATATATATATATATATATATATATATATATATATATATATATATATATATATATATATATATATATATATATATATATATATATATATATATATATATATATATATATACAAACACATTTTTTAATATAATTTTAGATTCATTAGAAGTAACTACTGAAAACAAGGTTTGAACTATATATATTTATTAAAATTTACTTAACTCTTATATGTTCAAATGTTATCTTTTATTAATACTTTGTATTTACAGTATTGTGTATTGTATTTATAACTATTTAAAAAAAAATTTCTTGGTTTCCTTCTTTTAACAATACCCACCAGAAATGAATTTTGTAAATGCTTGATTACAAAAAGTTACAATAAACATGGGTTATCAGATTTATTAACAAATTTGAAACCAAATATTTTTTATCTACTATAACCTATATAAATAACATATTGACAGTTATAGTTCTTATCACAAAACAAAGAATAATGAATAAAGATATTACTACCCCATGCCAAACCCTCACTTAATTTATCAGCACTCCTTTGTACTTTAAAGTACTGCTTTATCATTAAACTTAATTTTAAACTGTGTTATAAATCATTTAAACAAATAAACAAAAATTACAGATAAAATCTAAATTAAAAAAGATTTTATTTTTTTATAATTTATTTCTTTAAACAAACTTATACTTAACTTAGTCTTTTATTTTTTTATCACTATTAATTTTTTTTTACGCATGAACTAATGAACTATTTTTTTAATGTTTTTCTAATTTTTTTAAAAAAGAAGATATACATTTTTTTATATTGTGGAAAAAATAGGAAATTAATATAAATTTAAATATAAGAAAATAAAAAAATGATTATTGTAGTGTTGGCTTCTTATCATGACAAGAATAAATGGTAGTATCATCAGCAAACAATGCCACCTTAGATGTGAGAACATCTGGAAAATCGTTAATGTAAATTAAAAAGAGGATAGGGCATTAACCAATCGTTAATGTAAATTAAAAAGAGGATAGGGCCAAAGGATTGAACCTTTGGGAACCCTTGAGGTTACTGAATAAAAAGAAGAGTGCTGTCCATCAAGGACAACTTTTATACTACGATTGGAAAGGAAGGATTTAATAATCTTAAAGATGTTTCTAGATACACCCATAAGAAGAAAGCTTATGGAGAAGACCAGCATGCTAAACTTTATCAAGCACTTTAGAAATGTCAAGAGTGATGGCCTTAACTTTTCGACCTTTATCTAATGCACAATAAAATCTATTGGTTTCTACTGTTAGCAAATCAGCCGTAGAATGATAAGATCAAAATCGATAATTATGATCCAGGGCTTAATTTAATTTTTTATAATGTCCTGGACAAAATGTCAGACCAAAAGTTATTTTGGGCAGAAAGAACACAAAAAACAAACAGTTCTATTTGTGTTAATAAGCATGAAACTAATAGTTGTAATAAATATGCAGTTTTAATTATAAATAATATATGTAAATACAGCTCTGTTTTAATTTAAATCATTTTAATTTACTTTAATTCATCAAGCACTCTCTTTGTATTTATATTATATATATAAATACAAAGAGAGTGCTTGATGAAAAGAGCACTCTCTTTGTATTTATAGGAGCACATTGTATTTGTATTATATATATATATATATATATATATATATATATATATATATATATATATATATATATATATATATATATATATATATATATATATATATATATATATATATATATATATATATATATATATATATATATATATATAAAATATAAATACAAATAAAGATATTGTTTAAAAAATAAATAAAGAATCGGAAAACTCGAGCACATTGTATTTGTATATATATATATATATATATATATATATATAAAAAATATAAATACAAATAAAGATATTGTTTAAAAAGTAAAGAAAGAATCGGAAAACTCGAGTAGGACTAGTATGCCACCGAGAAACCGTTCAAGCTAAAATAGAAAAATTTGGATGATCATAATGTTAATGTTAAAATGTATATCTTCTTAATGTTTTTTAAAAAATATTTCATTGATGAGATCTCAGCCTCTAAAAAAACACATTTGTAAAATCTTTTATTATCAAATTTTTCAAGCTGCCAACTTTTCTTTGCTTTTCGGTGTCCACGGCGTTTGCAGTAATCAATCGAACATACTTTGACTTACTTTGTAAAACAAAATATTTTTTCAATGAGAGTTTATTTACTCTATGAAAAAAAAAATTAGCTAATCCAACTTTCCCCATTTTGATATAATTAAACTTTTTTTTAAGCTTCTTTTCATTATTGTAATCTCATCTTTTGACTTCTTGAAAAAACTTTTACATAATTGAAATATCACTAGAATTCAATAATGCAACATATCTTAGATTAGGCGCTTTTTAAAGTTAATTTGCTCATTCCCTTTTTATAATATCCATTTTGCGATCGTTTTAAATAAGCAATAATTTTAAATTTAATAGTATAACAATAAAACTGTTAAAGAACAGTCATTAAAACTACAATTAATAACAGCGCTTTTTTTGGAAATGAATATCTCCATTATCAACATATTTTATAAGTTTGTCTAACAGTTTACATTAAGTTTAAATTTGTCATTTTCAAATCAACGAATAAAATTTTATTTTAAAGAATTAAAAATCCTGCGGGGCAAAATGTCCGATGACTTTGTAAATTGATCAGACAATCTGAGGTTTTAGCCGGACAATGTCCAATGTCCGAGTGTTAAATTAAGCCCTGTGATCAGAAAGTATGTTATTAGATTCAAGATGAGAGATTAAGTTTTTTTCAGTTAAAGATTCAAAAACCTTGCTTATGATAGGAAGAAAACTAATAGGGCGGTAGTTAAACGAATCAGATCGTTCTCCAGAGTTTTTTAAAAAAGGGATAACAGATGCTGCTTTCCAGCAGGTTGGAAAATAAGACTCTGATAAACACTTATTGAATAGTTTTAAAAGGATAGACAACAGCTTAAGAAAACACTTCTGCAAGGCTATAACAGGTATGTTGTCCGGGCCACAAGCTATAGAAGTCTAAGCAGGAAATCACTTTAGATACAGAAGCTGGAGTGATACGAATGTCAAGCATTAATCAACCTGTTTGACGGCTATAATAGGTAGAACGCAACTAATGGAATCAAAAGATGATATTGATGAAAAGTTCTTAGCAAACAATTCAGCTTAGTCTTTAGGTGAGGTGACAAAGTCTGATCCATACAAAAGAGGTGGAATTAGAGACTTGCCCTTATTATTGATACTGTTAAAAATTCTCCAGAGAGCTAAAATTGATACTGTTAAAAATTCTCCAGAGAGCTTCTCATGAGAGCCTATTTTTTGTGATGAAATACAAGATTTCATGACATGAGAATAGCAGGCTTTGGCATTAGACAAAACCTTTTTACAATGGTTCCTAGCAGTAATAAACAGACGTCTGTTTTCTGGAGAATTGTTTTGCTGATAGATATGGAAGTGATGGTTTCGATTGGCAATTTCAGCAGCACAATGTGAGGAAAACCATGGAGAAGAGTGAGGCTTGACCTGGAAATGTCAAGATGGAATAAAAGATTCCATGCCAGCCTGAATCCACGAAGTTATGCAAGAAGCACATTTGTCAACATTAATACAAAAGATTTCTACCCAAGGGTCATCACAAAGAAAATCACGGAAAGAGTCCCAGTCAGCTTTAAGGTAGTTGTAAGATGTACAATGATAGGAGCAGGTTTGGACAGGAATGGCGTGCGATCGCACTCTGTAACTGATCATGCTAATATTTTTATTTCTTTACAACTTGACCACAGCTTTTTTGATGTTTTAACAATTTGAATGCAATAAAAAATTGTTACGTTATAAATATCTTTTAATCGTTGATCTTTTCTGTAGTTTTTTATTTTACACAAAGACGTAAAATAAAAAAATAAGTAAAACCTTAAAATTAATTATAGTTATTGTTTACATAAACGCTTGTGTAAATTAATAAAAAACATTATAAATAAGTTTTTTTTATGTAGGCATTTATTTTTTATGATAAATTTAAATGTTTGAAACTATTTTCTTATGTCTTCCTAAAATATTTTTTAACCATTAATTTTAGAAAGAATTTTTTTAAAGTTACTTTAATTTGCAAAATTCTTTTGTGACGACTAACTTTTACACATTTTATGTGAATTACACAAGAATATAAAATAACTTTATTTACTAATATAAGCATGTATTTTGTTGATTTAATGAAAAAGTTTTAAAGCATTTTGTAATGTTCATAAGATTAATTTTTATGATTAAACTTACGATTTTTTTAAATGTTTTAAATAAACATTTTATTTTTTGTAAACAATTTTTTTTTTTTTTCAATTTCTTTAAAAATGAATGAGATTAAATCTTTTATAATATTTTTTAAATTCGTTACGCGAAGCGCTTATTTATAAAGTTGTAATGCTCAAATTAAAATTAAATTAAAAAACTTATTTTAATTAAATCGCAGGCGCATTTTATTTATTTTTCTATTTTTACGAATAAAAAAGTTCAAAACCTTTTTTTTAATTTGACTCACTAATTAGAGCATGAAATTAGTAAAAATTACTATTTTAAAAAGCCTACGTTATTTTTTTAAACAATTTTTTTTTTTTGCAGCTTTTTTGACGAAATAAATGTTTATACAATTTAAAAATATTATATAAAACACTTTTTAATAAATTTAATAAAATTTGTTCTTTTATTAAACCAATCATTAGTAGTAATTTGTTACTTAATTTAAAAACGTTTTGCGTAACTTTAATAACGCTTAAAAAGATAAGTTTATTCCATACGTAATTAAAAACGTAACAAAAAGTTTCGCTTCGAGTTTGAGTTTTTATTTTCATTTTAGTGCTTATATAATTTCTTTTTCGTTATGAATTTGTTTTTCATTTCTTTTTTTGTTAGGAATATTTTTTTCGTTAGTTTTTTTTTTTTTCGTTAGTTTTTTTTTTTTATTTTTTTCCTACTTTAAGTTTAGCTTAGCGTTTCTACATTCAGAACATTTCTGAAATTTTTAAATTATCAAAACATATAAACATTGTTTATTAAACAATCTTGGTCAAGTTGTCAAAAAATAAAATCATTTGCGTGGTCAGCAATAGCGCTCGATCACACGCCATTCCTGTCCAAGCCTGTAGGA